TACCTGTAAGCCATATAGGAAGTCTACATATACTATATCTGTAAAACTAAAATTTTGACTGTTTTATTTAAAAGTATTTATAAAAGAAAAATGACTAAGTTTTCGAAAAATCGATCAAACTTATGGTTTAAGAGAAATCGAATTTCCCAAAAGAAAGAGTCGCCACTTAATTTTTAGTAAAAAATCAAGAAAAAATATATATAAGATTTTTCAAAAGACTTAAACAGATAAAATCAATTGAAAAAAAGGTTTGAGTTCAAATGTACATTCCGAGAAGGTGTTAGGCCCTCGGAATGCCCGCTAACTCGCGGTTGACCAACGATTTGACCAAAATGATTTTGACTAATTTTAAAATTTTGACTTAAGTAAAAGAATTCATTTATTTTAACTAATTATTTTTTTAAAATTTAAATAAGTAAAGAACTCACGACTTTGACTAATTTTGAAAGTTTAACAAAGTGAAAGAACTCATTTGTTTTAACTAATTATTTTTAAAATTTAACTAAGTAAACGAACTCATTTATTTTAACTTATTTATTTATTACTATTATTATTTTCATCACTTTATTTATCTTAAGGGGGAGTGAACTAAAGGGGAATTTTCTAAAGGGGAATGGTTCATAAAATGTCAACAAGACTAATATTAAAATAAAAACTAAGTAATAAAATATATATACTTTAATTCGAAAATAAAATGAAATGACCATTCTTGAGGAATTTAATTAAGTTAAATCATAAGATAATCAAAACGTTAGTCAAATATAATAAAATAATAAAGGAGGGAAAGGAAGAGCATGTCAAATTTGGGCCTATTGCTGCGTTTTTGGGCCTCCTTCAGCCCATTTTCGCTCTCAAACACCTGTGTATACAACAAAGGTATATTGTTGTATATGGGTCGCATTTTGACTCATTCTCGTGTATATTGGCATGCATACCATCCGTATACAATATATTTCAGCCTCCAAGTACTTTCAATTCGTTTTCCACCTATAATTCAATATTATGAAGCGTATATCAAGGTATATTGCTGTATATCGGCATGTGTACAGTCCGTTTTGGACCTTTTCAGAGCTTGAAACTTCAAATTCCAGCCTTGTATGGCTCTCCCAACACCCGTTCATCAGTTTCTTTTGCTCGAAAATGGGGCCGACTCGATAAAGATGGGGTTAGGCCTCCATGGCCCAATTAGAAGGTGCAAGGAAAGGTGAAAAAGTCCATGAGGACTCGGGGCACAATTTTTCATGCAAATATAACACACAAAAAAAAGTGAGTAACGATTCAATAATTTGAAACCAAGTGAACTGAAACTGTATACAATTTGCCCTTGGACTTAAGCATGGAAAAGGCAAACAACTCTAAATCCATATGGAGGAAAAATAAAAAAAGCAACATAAAAAAAAATTAATAACAATAAATTCCAACTAATACACACAAAGCCCCCCTCAATGAACCTTAAGATATTATCTAATGTTATTAGATAGGATAATTAAACTTCGATTAATTAATCATGACTTCACCTTAAACACACACATGCCGAACTCAACAGTGAGTCAAAGGACATTAGAAGATAACCACAAATTATGCCAACTAAAACTAACCGAAAAGCAAATGGGCCAAAGTTTTCCTCTCAATTAGAAGTAATATCATGTGACTCAAATTGAAACAAAATGAAGGCAAGGGAAAGTTAATTCTCAAGAAAAAGGGTCATTGTAACATAAATAAACTACTAATCTTTGCTTTGAAACCAACAATAAATTCCAAAATTTTATTTTATTTTTTTTAAAAAAAAACACCCATGCTTTTACATAGTCAAGCAAAGTAGCAGACAACCTATGGACACTAAAATGAACCTAAATGCCTTAATATAGATAACTTATCAGAATAATATTAACAGGGTAAGATAGGAATTCACATGACTCTCAGACAGGAAAAGAGGGAACTTGTAGTAACTTATTAAAGGGGAAGAGAGGAATAAACATGTTTTAGCATTTTTTCAAGATATCGTTCCAGCAAACCGGACATAATACCATTGATTGAATAAGAAATATAGAAGAAACAATATAAGGATCTCATAACGAAAGGCGATCATCTGAAACATAAAACGGTCGAGGAGATAAATCTACGCCTATTTATATTAGCATGAACTTCTAGTTTATGCTTGAAAATACTTAAAGAAGCAGCAAAATAATTTCATTGACACTTTCAGCACATATAACCAAGACCAGAAAATTATCCCAACCGACGGAAACAGAACAAAGCGAATAAATAAGCCGAGCTTAAGACGAGAGCAACAACCAAGGATTTAAGAAGACTACAAAACAAAGAAAGCATATTCAAGTAAGCATTATATCACTTCGGAAAAGACACAACAAGAGAAATAAAGGCGATATTTTCACCTCTTTCGGGACAGAGAAACTGAGACCAAACGAGCTGAAGGTTCCAAACTTCCACCACCACTGAGATGGACAGCAATCGAGAAGCCCAGGCAACGACTCGAACTCGAATTAATCTTAAAGAACGATGAGACTCGGATGGAAAACCAACTCTTCTTTCTCTCCTTTGAATGTATTTAGTATGTATCCTATAATTATTATTATTATTTTTGGTGTGTGATTCCTTATGCCTTAGTAAACTTTCCCAATTTTTTTTTTCTCTTCCTCTCTCAACAGTGAATAGATACAATTATATATAAGGGAAATTAGGATGGAAAAAATGGGGGGGGGGGGGGGGGGGGAGGACGAAATTGAATAAAAAATGGCCTTATTCGAATTTCAAATTCAAAAGTCTTTCACAATTTTGGAGAGACCACTTTTTCTGAGAAATTCACTCCATTCCGAAAGAGGAAAGAGGGGACAAACGGCTAAGACCGACTCCCTTTTCCTTGAGCATCGACGTGTCTTCATCTCGTGGCTACAAGGACTGAGACGCGTTGCTGGCAGGCTGTAGGACGCTGGAATCGTTGGGTTTTGGTTTTGTCGCGTCTGGAATGGGTCTTCGTTGAGCTTCTGGAGAAGAAAAACAAAGGGTATAGGGGTGGGGTCACGTTGCTGCTGTATGTTTTGCTGATTGTATTGCTATTGTAATGTTGGAGTCGATAGAAGGGTTGGGATTGAGTTCGGTTTCTGTCGGTGGGCTACTGTAATGTTATATGGGAGAATGGGTATTGGATTATTAATGGGGGAATATTGTGTTGGGCTGAGAGAATGAGAGGTGTGTTGGGCTGAATGTTGGATTTTGAGAAAAGGCCCAAAATTTGATCCTTAAAAAATAAATAAGCTAGAATTGAATTAGACTTTGGCCATACGAATCTAAATTATAGCCAAATGTAGTCAAACTTAGTTGATTAGGAGAAGTTCGACTAGTAATTAAATAAGACAAATCAATATTAATTAATTAACGAGCTTCTTAATCTTAACGAAATAAAATAATTAACTCAATTACTCCCTCCGTCCCATTTTATGTGGCAACATTTCCTTTTTGGTCAGTCCCAAAAAGAATGTCACATTTCCTTATTTGGAAAGTATTTAAAGGTACAATTCCTTTTTTATCCTTGTTGGTCCCACTTAATCTTAAAATAATACTCCAATACATTTATGAGGAGAGAGAAATTGAATCTACTTTTTAAAAGGGCAATTTGGTAAACATTTCAAAGTCTTCATTTATTTCTTAAACTCCGTGCCCGGTCAAATGTTGCCACATAAAATGGGACGGAGGGAGTATAAACTAATTAATTTAACAATATAAACGGCTAAATAATTAAATATTTAAATAAAGCTAAAATCTTTTTGAGACAATTTTCGAACATTCATAAAATATACTAATTAGACACATGATTATATAATAATTAACTTAATTATAAACTAATTAACTCAAAATATAAACTATTAATTAATTTAAACTAAATAGCCAAATATTTAAATAAAACTAAAATCCTTTTGAGACAATTTTCGAACATTCATAAAATATACTAATTAGACACATAATTATATAAAAATTAACTTAATTATAAACTAATTAACTCGAAATATAAGCTATTAATTAATTTAAACCAAATAGCCAAATATTTAAATAAAACTAAAATCCTTTTGAGACAATTTTCGAACATTCATAAAATATACTAATTAGACACATAATTATATAAAATATCATATTTATTATTTTAAAATTTATAAAAATGACAAAACTACTTAAAATGACTTGAAAATTATTTTGAATTTTATAAAGCCAATTATTTCAAATCATTTAGAATTTAGGAAGCTCGATGATTAATTTATATTGGGGAGGGTCAAAATTAGGTGTCAACAACTATCCCTCATTTTACTTGGATTGATGCAAGAAATTCGGGGAAGATGAAATTGACAAATCCAATTTTGACCGACCACATCTTCATCTTTTTGGAAAAAGGTTTTTGGTACGGACTTTAGGAATTATGGCCGTACCCCGAAAATGGAGTTTCCTACATATATCAGGCTACATAAGAATTCAGGTCACTTGTAATTCGACACGCTTGATTTGACGCACGATTCTGAAGAATTCAAAGTCATCCCGGTATCAAATTATGGAGGGACCGAAACACTCATGAGTGAGATTTAAGATAGAATGTCGGAGTACAGTCGAGTTTTCAACGCTGATCCCGCCTACATATCCCTCAACTTAGGAAATTAGGCTGTTTGTAGTTCGACTCAATCAGTTGAAAATGAAATCTCTTATGCAAGATAACCTTTGGTTCAGGAGGAGTGACAAAGTAAGTCAAGTATGAAAAAAATGAGGCTTGCAATCTCTTAGTCATGAATGTGGCGCGCTTCACACCCATAATTAAGAACTTAAAAATAGCCTAATTACTCTTCATAGCTATAATTTGATAATTACAATTTGTAGTTACATGTTATAAGGAGGAGAGAGGCGAGATAGATTGGGAGAGAGAGGAGAGAGGCGAGTGAGAGAGGGAAGAGAGTGGGAGAGAAGTGAAGTGTATATGTATATCGATTAGATAATTGTATAGCCACTGGAAAAGGAGGATCTTTTTAGTGACGGTGAAGGAACTGATGGAGATTTTGAAGAAGATGGAGGTTCTCGTGATGAATAACAACAGGAAATGAACTCAGATCCTCACATGTCTTCTGACTTGGATGACACCTTTGCTGCTGATATATTAGCAAGCGGTGATGCTGGTACTGTCTTTAGTGTATTGGTATTCCAATTTTAGCCATCCATCATGATTGATGACTCACTAAACATTTTTCTTCGCTTTGTCATTTATGTTGTAGACGATGGTTTCGATGTTCATTCGGATTCGGATGTAGATTCTGATTCAGATGCAGATGATACTGATCTTGTAAGGAAGTCAAAAGCTATTGATGATGAAAGGAAAAGAGAGGAGGATGATGGTTATTTAGAATTGCAGCTCAATATTAAAGAAGAAGCTGATGGTTCAGATTTCCAACAACTGAGGTTTGCATAATGTTCAAGTTCTTGATTAGAGGTTTTACTTGTCAGATACTCATGCAGGGAAAAATTATGAATGCTAAATATGTCATTTTAACTTTAGGAGCTCGAAGAAGAAACAAATAGACCCCCGGATCTCTCTAATCTCCAAAGGAGGATAAAAGAGAGTGAGTTTCTTTTCCTTCATCTTCCCTTTCTGAATTATCTTTCTTCGGAGGAAGTAAGTTTCTCATTCACATATAATAAAATAAATGCAGTTGTTCGGGTGCTTTCAAATTTCAAGTCATTGAGGCAAGAAGATGTGACACTTAAGGATTATGTTGATCAACTTAAAAGGGACTTGGGTTCATACAATGATTTTCTCATTGAATCGTTAGTGGAGGTAATTCTAAGTCAAAGTAGTCTAGACTCTGCACCTTTTGCGTTTTCAAGTTGCACTTTCATTTAAATCTGGATTTCTTGATATGTGACCTTACTGCAGCTGTTTCCCCTTGTTGAGTTGATTGAACTTATTGAAGCATTTGAAAAGCCCCGGCCAATTTCTCTGCGGACAAACACTTTAAAGGTCATGGTTTATCTGTCTCTTTTCTATCTTTACCTTTTGTTGCTCTAATGGTTGACTCATAGTTTATTGCGTCGACCGGATTTCAGACTCGCAGACGGGATTTAGCAGGTGTTCTTCTTAACAGAGGTGTCAATTTGGATCCACTAAGCAAATGGTCAAAGGTATAAGGATTAACTGTGGTTCTCTGTGTTTTGTTTGGGTTGACCCATTATTTAAGTATCAATTTGGATTTGTTAATTCTTATTTTTATATGTATCATTACTTATTTCAGCATATGCATTGTTTATTTTATCGGTTGGACTAGTTTTATATGATTCTCAATTTCCAGTTGGTGCCACTCCTGAGTATATGGCTGGTCACTACATGGAATCCTGACATTACACTTTAATTGATATCTTTGCTCTTAGTACGCAACTGTAATGCTTATTTCTAATAAATAACTTGCTTACAGCTCCAAAGTGCGAGTTCGTTTCTGCATGTAGTGGCCCTTGCCCCTCAAGAGAATGAACGTATTGTTGATATGGCGTAAGTAAATAATTTTGTCTAACAAATGTTTGCTTCAATTGTCTATCATTGAATTTTTCACCATCCAATATGTTTTTAATTCAGATCTTTTTTGATTTATTGCCCTTTCATAATCTTAAATGTATCGGTAAGTAATTAACAAGCTTGATCGCTGAAAGAGTTGTACGGTGCATATTTAGATAGTATAGGAAAAAACTAATTGAGAGAAATAAAGCATCTTCTGTTCCTCTCACTTGTAATTTCTACTTTCTTTAAATCAGCATCTTTGTGTTGGATATATCTTTGTCAGTCTTAGGTTTAACTAATCTATTTTTAGTATCTTTCTTGTGAGAGGAAGCTAAAACAATTTCTGTGAACTTTTTAGTTATTAGCTCACTAAGCAGAAAAGTGGATTTTTTTGGTAACTTCTGTTCTTCTAAAGTGGGAAAACTTGTAAATGGTGCAGTGCTGCTCCTGGAGGCAAAGCAACTTATGTTGCTGCACTGATGGAAAATAGTGGTATGTATTCATTTACAGTCAATCATGTTGTATTTTTGTGAAGAAATCCAATTTCTCCATAATTCATCCATAATTTCTGGAATACGTATGGTTGAATGAATTTTCAATACATTTTTCTCCCCTGGTGTTACTATCCATTATCTTCATTTCCTTGAAAATATTCTTTGTTTTTACATTTCTTGCATTGCTTATTTCTAATGCAGTGAACCAAAATATACTGGGTGCTTCCGTTCTATTTTACTATGCGCTCATGTTCATTGTTCTTACCCAAAGTAGCTTATGTGAAACACCGTGTTCTATTTTTGTGAAGTAATCCATTTTCTCCATAATGCATCCATTGTTTCTGCATTCCTATGGGTGAATGAATTTTAAAAACATTTTTCTCCCCTGGTGTCAATATCCATTATCTCCATTTCCTTAATGAGATGAAGGAGTCGAGAATTAAATCACTCACTGCTAACTTACATCGCATGGGGGTAACAAAGTCAAACACCATTGTCTGTAACTATGATGGAAGAGAGGTTAGACTCAGACTATTTTGCTATCTCCCCTTTTAGAACTTGCTGCATTTTATTTGTACGTTTAAATTTCATGCTGGACAATGTTGTTCTACTTTCTTGCTCATTTTAAGCTCTCATTCTTGTTGGCTGGAGTTGCTATGTAGTAACGTCATTGAGCTACAGGCACTGATCTGACAGATTTTGTTGGACTTGTTTCTTGGTTTACCTAGTTATAATATATGGACAAGTCCTCTGATCTAATACCTTACCTGGGAATCATTTCAGCTACCTAAAGTCTTGGGTCAGAACACTGCCAATAGGATTTTGCTGGATGCTCCCTGCAGTGGCACTGGGGTACGTAGTAATGTTTGATGTACATGTTTGACTGAAATCATTTTTAATCAGATGAAGTTCGTTGGTTCTGCAGGTGATTTCCAAGGATGAGTCTGTTAAAACTTCAAAAACTGCTGCAGATATACAAAATTGCTCGCACTTGCAGAAGGTATAAATTGAGTTCAACGTGTAAATTTGGTGATTTTGTGTCATCCATATATCTAGATTTGTGTTAGGGTTTTGCCCTGATTTTCTTACCTTATTTGAAGTTTATTTTTTTTCTTAAAGAAAAGTCAAAGTATTACTATAAATGCTTGAACTTTTTCTGAAAGAAAAATATAATTTTCTTATATTTGGTTTATTCTTTCCTTAGAGAAATAGTTTGGAGATCTATAAATTGAAGATCCCTATTCTCATAGCGTAACACAATAGAATCTACAATGTAGTTGTTTAGAGAACTTTGTTTATGAGGAGATTTTCTCTCTACAGTTTTTATGCTTTTTATTAGTTTTTAATTATGTAGATCAATGGTCATATCAAATAATAATATTATATCCTTTAGTATAGTTTTATGTGTCGTCTAATTTATCAACCATATTATTTGCAATTGTAAGTTTCAGCATGACGCCCTAATCACCCTTTCGAACCCAACAAGTGGTATTAGAGCATATGGTTCAATGATCTAATGCTTGAATGAGGTTGAAGACAGGTTCAAGTGGTTTCAAATCAATTTGCAACTAATTTGATGATAAAAAAGATTTTTGTCCAGCTACATGTGGAGAAAAGATTAAAACCATATTTTCAACATTCCTGTTGCTGCATCTTTAAAAATAAAAATAAAATATTTTAAAACCATTTTAAACCCATATATTTTAAACTTTATTTTTTAACCATGACAAGCAGCAGTGATGAAGACTATGTGAAGAACGAAGATATCATGCATGTGAAGAAGACGAATCAAGTTTTATCAAGAAAATCCAGCCAAAAGGGGAGATTTGTTAGGGTTTTGCCGTGATTTTCTTACGTTATTTGAATTTTAATTTTTTCCTTAAAAATAAGTCAAAGTATTACCATAAATGCTTGAACATTTTCTGAAAGGAAAATATGATTTTCTTATATTTGGTTTATTCTTTCCTTAGAGGAATAGTTTGGAGATCTATAAATTGAAGATCTCTATTCTCATAGCATAACACAATAGAATCCACAATGTAGTTGTTTAGAGAGTTTTGTTTATAAGGAGATTTTCTCTCTACAGTTTTTATGCTTTTTATTAGTTTTTAATTATGTAGACCAATGGTCATATCAAATAATAATATTATATCATTTAGTGTAGTTTTATATGTCGTCTAATTTATCAACCATATTATTTGCAATTATAAGATTCCGTATGATGCCCTAATCACCCTTCAGAATCCAACAACTTGCAATCATGAAATTTCAATGAACTGGTTGTATGCTTGTCATGCTTCATTAGAGAACTCGTATACAACATATCGCCAGCATCTGACTTCACTGGATGTTAGAAAACACTGGTTTCTGAAAATACTTAATTTTTGAGAGATTAAGTTGCAAGGAAAATTGAACGTTATCTTTGTTGTTTTTAATTATTGATTTCATCGATCTTATTTTTTGTATGAGGGAACAGATTTTGCAATTCTAGTTGCCTTATTGCCCTTATTTTTGGGTGTGTTGTTATCGTACCCTCCCAAAGTAGGAGGGTGTTGATGATATTGGAAGGCTCATCTCCCTCCCTCCTGCAATAATGTTAATTTTGCTCCATAATGTTTATGATTATCTTATATTCCATGTTTCACATATTGATGTCGCTTACTCGCCTCTGAGAAACCTGTTTCATGGTCAATTTTCATTTGCCGGAACTGATACTTGCAGCAATTGACATGGTCGATGCCAACTCAAAATCAGGTGAATACATAGTGTATTCTACCTGCTCCATTATGGTTGATGAGGTTTCTTTTAAAACTTATATTTCTTATGAATCTTATAAAAAAGGGTACCCTCCTAAGTGTTTGTATGCATATCAATTTCTACTTATTTGCTTAACTTGGGCTGCAGAATGAAGCAGTTATAGACTATGCACTCAAGAGAAGAGATGTTAAACTATAACATGTGGGTTCGGCAGAAAAGTAGCTTTGGTTCAAACCCTGTAATGTGTTAAAAAATCACTAAATATGTGTAGAACTTAAATTTAGAACCCAGTTACTAGCACTTGAGGCCATGAACTAGAGCCCAAAACTCTTAAGGTTTAAGTCCTGGATCTAACTCTGGATGGGAAGTCTTTCGGAATGAAAAGTATCATGTTGAGAGAGCTCTAATGCAGGAATCAGAGTTCTATCTTTATAGGTCAATGATGTCTATTCTTAACATTGATCGCAGCACCCCAAGTGAAGTACTTACAAGGAGAACAGGCCACATAAATTACTCTGTCTTCGCCATATCACACTCAATTCTCCTGTGAAGTCCTCTCTTTTCAAATGATTTTTCCCTTTTTGGTGTGCTTGTTTCCATCAACCATGATAAGTATGGGGGGGGGGGGTACATACCCGATGAGACATAATAACCTTGTTGCCTAAGTAATCGAAAGCTTAGAGCAACAACATGTAGGTCACTTTCATCAAATTCACCAATCCATTCTTCATAATCATTATAGATTTCACTCAATGATTCCTCAATATTATGTTCAAAATGGTATGCCACTCCAAGCAATTGTATTGTGTTTATAAGTTCAAGTTTTTGTAAAGATTTGGAAGGAGCCATCACTAGCATTTTTCTCACTCCTCCTTTTTGGTCTTCATGTTCCTTCTCTTCCCATTCGTTGGCTCTCTACTTGATTAAATTTCAATATTTGTTTATAATATGCTTTGTTAAAAATCATGAAGAATATTCACAACATAAAGTAATTAATTACCGAAAGATTAGCATAGGCAAGAAAATGGTCTCCCCAAACAGAAGGATGATGATTGGCACATCGACGTGTAATCTCCATCTCACCACCAAATCCAACCATTTTTCTTCTTCTTTCAAGTTACTAGATGAAGAGAGAAAAAAATTTGATCAAATAGTTGTTATTCAATAATTAAGGAGCACAAATGACTAACTTATAATGGCCAACAGGAATGAAAATGTTTTCTAGAAAAAAAAGTTTTTGTTAGTGCATGTTTGGGCGTAAAGATTGTAAAATTTGGAAGAAAGTAATGTTTGTTTTCAAGTTAAAAAAAGATAATTGGAAACATATTCCACACTTACTAGTCACTTTTTATTAGCAAATTATACATATAGCAAGCTACTTCGATGCAAAACTGAATTATTAAAAGAAAATCGGAATATACCTACTAATTTCCTTGCTACTACTTGGCTCTCTTTAAAACTAAGAAATTGTGTCTTCAATGCAAGTAATTAGGACATGAATCCCTTGCTATTTATAAAGCTTTAGTATACCAATAGGTTCATTAATATTCCTTTACGTTGATAGATTTCATTTTTATTATTTGTCACATCTGATATATTAAGAAAATGTGATTTTTTTCATATATTCCCTAAATCATTGTTTAAGATCTAATACCTAAATATCAATTAATAATTATATATAGTATAATAAAATAATCATATCAATTATTGTTTTGTTAAGAAGTATGTCATATTTAAATATAACAAGTGCTCCTCGTATAATAAAGTTTTTATATTATATCTATTCCATATTAACTTAATTTTTGAGGATTTTTTCATTGTTCAAAATAATTGAATTGTTCAAAGTTTAAGATCGATGTTTAATTTTTTTTCCATATTTGCCCTTTCATTTATTGAAAATTTATACTTTCTAGGAGATAAATTACATTACTTATAAAGTTATATTTATAATTTCATAAAAACAATAGTGAAAATCATAATTTAAATTATGTCTTTAAATATTTTTAAATAAAAATGCATTCACTCACAAATTCAGTTAATATGGAGTAGGAGTTAACCGTCAATGAAAGGCAGTCGTTGATATAGAGACGTGACTTAATGAATGAGATCAATTCAAGTCCATTTTGGGATCTCACTTTGAATCCTCTATTGTTTTTGCTCTAACAAGTGGATTAAATGCTACTTTCTCTCCCTTTAATTTATATGGTTTATCTTTTTTATAACCAATCTTAAAAAAAATGACATTTTTCTATATTTAATAATTATTTAACTTTAAAATTCTCATTTTATCATTAATGAAATGATTTATAACCACACAAATTTTAAAAAAATTCTTTGAGTCATTTTTGCCAACAAGTTTCAATTTTTTTTTATTTTTTTTAAATGGAACACTATAATATACAGAGAGACAATGGTTTAATTTGTAATCTTTTACAAAGTTGATTTTTAGTTTTATGTCATTTGTATAAAAAAATAAAATTACATACAAAAACTGAAACAATCATTTTCTTCGTTTCAGTTGTACAAGTAGTAATAAGAAATTATGTTCTTCATGTGGTGTAAAATCTGGTACACAATAGGAACGTTAAAATATTTAATTTCACTATTTTATTTTAAATGGCTTTTTCCGTCTTCTTATTTAGCAATTTTAAGAAAAGGATACCTTATTTTTAAAACTTACAGTCAATAAAAAAAACAAAATATAAGCCATGTACAAATTGAAGAAAATATTAAAACTAGTTTAAGGACATGATTGAAGATAAGAACATGGTCAAACCGTCAAATTCAGAAAAGAAAATAGAATTTTAATTTTATGAATTTTAAATTTTATAATAATAAATTTAAATATGATAGCAGCTAATAGCAGCAGTTCAACAAGTGGAACAAGTGGTGTTGATATAAACCACCCAATGTACAAAGAATTCATGAATTTTATGAAATCCAAGAAGGAATTGGATAATAATCCACCAACATATTCCACCATTCTCATGGATGATGAAAACATAGAAGTATTTGATTTGAATGACAAAAGAGAAGTTATACTTCTACTTGAAAACAGTGACCTAAGATGGAAAAATGAACCATGGCAGGTAATGTCCAGATATCTGGATACAATATGTTATACTACTACTGTGTATAAATACAGAATGTATTATGAGATAATACTCTCTGCCACAGGGTCATGTGAATTTCAACACTTCTACCCAGCAAACACAAAAAAGGATTATAACTTTTCTAAGATGATTATTAAAAAGATCTTAGCACCTGAAGAATGGGGTATGAGACCTTTGAAGGAAATGGATTATATCCATCCTGAGCAAAAAGTCGCAGTAAAATATAACTATTGGGATTACATTAATGCCTTTAATAAAGCCATGTTATATGAAAATGCTAATAAGAAGCATTCATGGTTTATCAAGATATGCGGTAATATATTTGGAAGGCATATTCCGAATTGGTTCTGCAAATGGTGGACATTATATGGTCCTTCAGTGAAAATATTACCTGAGTCATATAAAAAATTATATTTAGAATGGGTAAATATCTCCCCAAAAATTATAAGTTTACAGGATGATAATATATTCTTTGAAGGAATGTCAATAATGTATTTCTTTATTGAATTTTCTATTCCATGGATCATGAAATGGTCGGTGAAAGTTAATACCACTTCCGATGGATTCCCATGTTTACAAAGGACATTTTATACCAAGTTCTGGAGTAAACTATTACAGAAGGACCAGGAAGGAAAGGTTCATGGTCAAGAAATTCTTGATTCAATAAATAGAAAATTAGCACATGATATTGCTACTTCAGAACCACAGGTGATAGAGGATCTGAGTCCATTTAAGAAGATCACAAGAAAACTTCAAATGAAGAAAGGTCTGATTTTGAAATCAGAAGCCATAGCTTTGAATATGGAAGAAGTGAAAAAAGATTTAATGATAAATATTGATATTGAAATCAAGGATGATATCTCTATGATAACTGCATAGTTAGAGAGGGACAAAAAGTTGATGAAGAGATCGATATTGAGACTTTTTTACAAAAATATCAACAACAGATAGAAGAATCTTCTAGCACCAGCACAACTGTCAAAGGGAAAAATAAAGGATGAAAATCCCACAGATAGCGTAATGAAATACTCTAATAAAGTTGTCGGCCACATGTAATAAGGCCAAAATACTTTTATAAAGTAATATTACCGGAAGCCGAATGTAATGTCAGCTAGTAAAATAATGCAAGGTCATATGGGTGTGTCGGCCTTATCGTTTTATTAATGGCCATTGAAAAAGTCTGGCCAATACCTTTTTGTAATTTTTAACTTTTAAAGATTCCTCTCATATCTATATAAGGAGAGGAAATGTGTGTAGTTAGAGGCAGGTTTTAGAACCCCCTCTCTCTCTTGTACTCTAAATAATTTTCTTTGTAAAATTTTCTAAGTAATTGAATAAAAGTTTGCAATTTGGTTGATCTGCTGGAAGTTCGTCTTAAGGTACTTTTCTTATTTTATTTACTTCTTTTTATGTATTAGACCCAAATGATGGGCTAAACTGTTTGTGTTGAGCTATAGCATACTAAGTTACTATAATAACTGGTGTATGTTGCTATCATGAAGATTGTTTGAACAGTCAGATTAAGGTCATATATAGATTACTCAGGCATAGTTATGAAAGATCGTTGAATTGATCCGTTGGATTACCCGTTGGATTATCCATGTGGAGGGCGGATCCGGACGGACCCAGATAGTAAGGATTTTCATATACTTTTGCCAGGATTGATCTAGGTTCGTAAAGGTTCCTCATAGCCTGATTGTGCGATCCGTTTTCACTTTGGTATCAGAGCCATGAAATTATAGTAACTATATGTGTTATAGTTCAACACAGTTTGTTTTTATGAATATCATAAAAAAGAAATGTAATGTTAAAAACAATAGGAAAGAAGAGTATGACATACCTCAGCACTTAGATCTACTTAATAAGTGGACTATTCCTAGAATATCACCTAGAATCATATATCAGATGGGTACTTTCGAGAAGCTTGGTCTCAAACAGGTGGTTAAAACCACGGGAAAAACTATCACTATTGATAGTGATAATCAGACTTTTAGATTATTATCTGAAAATGATTTAGCCCCTTATAGGGATATTTACCGTTTTATGCATATTGGTTTAGTACAGGTGGCCTTTAAGCCCCTTATTTTACGTGGAATTCTTGAAAGCTTTATAGCAGCTTTACGTGATGATAGAAATTATAACAGGAAGAAATCTCTTATAGGAACTATACAAACTCGTCTAGCTTATGGACCTGTTTATTTAATGTTTATCCTAACTTGCAGATTTCCTTGCAGGATGAGAACTCATTAAGTTCGCTCATGTTAAATGTTAAACTTCATGGTTATGATTATATACATGGAACTGAAGTTGTTTGTATTTATTATAGAATTTATTATAAACTTTTGCATACTTTAAATCCTATGTGCAAAATGATTGATTTAAAAAATGAGACTATTTTGATAGAAACTAATTTTGATAAATCTAAAGTAGTCACTAGAAGACCTATCAAGTGGGAAGAAATTGATTTTCCACAAGAATGGGTTATTGAAAGTGCTACTCAACCCAGAAATAATATTAAATCGGAGATTTTTGAAATTGAACAGTTGAACGATGAAACTGTTAAAATTAGATTTTCCGATCTTTCTAATGTGCATGATAGAATTGAGAATCGTTGCATATCTTCTAGAATGACTAGATCTAATTCCTCTTACGTTTCTCCTATTGATTATATTGTGCAAGCTCCTTCTCGTGCTTCTACTTCTCAAATTAGAGAAAGTTATGATATAAAAATTGATAAGGATAACATTGCTCGACCTATTTCCAGGGCTAGCTCAGATTTAGATATAACTGAATCTGAAATGAATTTTCTAGATGGATTGACTAAATGAAATTTGTTTTATGATGTCTGACAAACAAATTGATTTTAGTCCGGGTTCACCGGCAAGAGCCAGAATCGCTAAAGATTTTCAGGGAAAGAAATGAAAACTTTTCAGAAAATGGTTCTTCAAAAATTTTAATAAAAAAGAACAATATGATTTTCAAGAAGAATTTTATAAAGATATTATGGACTCAGAAATAAATCGATTAGTTGCTTTTGTTCCTTGGTTTATGTGCAAGCATGTTCATAATTATATTTCTATGTTAGAGAAAGATTTTACTCTAAGCAATGGAGAAATTACTAAATCAGTTTTTCCTCCGCAACAGTCTTTTCATATTAATAGAAATGATAGGGTTGTTAACTTTAATGCTTTTTCAAAATTGTTTGAAAATGATACTGCTTTAGTTACTACTAGTCATGTCAATGTCATGATTAAGCAGAATAACTATGCAAACATTTATATGAGCATATTGGGTGAACATATTGTTTCTTTGCATGATAAAGTTGATAAACTAATCTCTTTGTTACCTAC